ATATATATTAATATATATATACACACACACATACATACATACATACATATATAAAAAAATAGGGTTTTTTATTTCTAGGCCCAAATGATTACCCATCTTTACCCATAAACCCATTTACTATTTCATTTATCCATAAACCCAAAGATCTTTGGGTATTTATCTTTAAGCCCAACTTACAAAATACAATACTTGTAAGTGTGGGCCCCCCAAAATTTTTGAATTAATTCCAACTCTACCCTTTACAGTTTAATAATGTGTTCTTTATTAGGTGGGCCCCTTTAAAAATGTAAAATATTAAATATTTAGAGAGAGAGAGAGAGGAGAGAGAGTGAGAGAGAGAGAGAGAGAGACTCGTTCCCCTGTTCCTCTACCCGCGCGGGAGAGGAGAGAAGAGGCGGGAAATAAATCTCGTTCTCTCCCTCCCTTTCTCTCTCTCTCTCCATTTCCTAATTAACTCCCTCTCCCATCCATTAATACTACATTCTTCCATTAAACCCATCAATTAATTTTCACCCACTTATCAATCCATCATTAAATTCTCAACTCCATTAAGGTGTATGGTGTGATTTTAGTGGATATTCATCACTTTCTTAACAATTGAAGGTATAATTTTTTAATTTACTCATCTACCAAGTTTATTGCATTAATTCATCCTCTTATTCATGAATTATTTGACATTGCTATTCATGTAAATTAGTTAAATTTGTTATATTTGACAATATAACAAATAAAAATAATTTAAAATTGTTATTCATGAATTCATAAAAAATAGTTACATTTGTTACTATTCAACCACTCATTAATTGAACATAATTTCACGTTAATTAATTATTTGACATTATTAGTTCACATTAATTTCTCATTATTAATCCTGAATTCATAAAAATTAGTTTCACATAATCTTTGATTAATTTCACATAATTGACATAAATTTTTTTTATATTTTTAGTGAAATTTGTTAGTTAAATTTGTTAGTTACATTTGTTAGTTACATTTGTTACTATTCAACCACTCATTAATTGAACATAATTTCACGTTAATTAATTATTTGACATTATTAGTTCACATTAATTTCTCATTATTAATCCTGAATTCATAAAAATTAGTTTCACATAATCTTTGATTAATTTCACATAATTGACATAATTTTTTTTTATATTTTTAGTGAAATTTGTTAGTTAAATTTGTTAGTTACATTTGTTATTAAGGAAAAATTAGTTTCACATAATCTTTAATTAATTTCACATAATTCACATAAAAATTAGTTTCATATAATCTTTGATTAATTTCACATAATTCACATAATTTTTTTTATATTTGATAAAATTTTAGTTAAATTTGATTTTATTCGATCACTCATTAATTCACATAATCTTTGATTAATTTCACATAATTTGATTTTAGTTGTAATTTTCCTTAAATTTGTTTTATTTTTAATGACAAACATAGATAGATGGATGAGGAATTGTATTGTGCATTGACCCACTACACTTACAGTCTAAGCCGCTACACTTATAATATAACCCGCTACACTTACAGTCTAACCCGCTACACTTACAGGATAACCCGCTACACTTACAGCATAACACGCTACACTTACAGGATAACCCGCTACACTTACAGGATAACACGCTACACTTACAATATAACCTGCTACACTTACAGCATAACACGCTACACTTACAGTCTAACCCGCTACACTTACAGGATAACCCGCTACACTTACAACATAACATGCTACACTTACAGAATAAAACCCGATACACTTACAGTCTAACCCGCTATGCTTACACTCTAACCCGCTACACTTACAATATAACCCGCTACACTTACAGCATAACACGCTACACTTATAGGATAACCCGTTATACTTACAGACTAACCTGCTATACTTACAGACTAACCCGCTACACTTACAGTCTAACCCGCTACACTTATAATATAACCCGCTATACTTACAGGATAACCCGCTACACTTACAGCATAACCCGCTACACGTGCAGGATAACCCGCTACACTTACAGCATAACCCGCTATACTTACAAGATAACCCGCTACACTTACAGCATAACCCGCTACACTTACAGTCTAACCCGCTACACTTACAGCATAACACGCTACACTTACAGTCTAACCCGCTACACTTACAACATAACACACTACACTTACAATATAACCTGCTACACTTACAGCATAACACGCTACACTTACAATCTAACCCGCTACACTTACAGTCTAACCCGCTACACTTACAGCATAACACGCTACACTTACAGTCTAACCCGCTACACTTACAACATAACACACTACACTTACACTATAACCTGCTACACTTACAGCATAACACGCTACACTTACAGTCTAACCCGCTACACTTACAGTCTAACCCGCTACACTTACAGGATAACCCGCTACACTTACAGTCTAACCCGCTACACTTACAGGATAACCCGCTACACTTACAATATAACCCGCTACACTTACAGCATAACCCGCTATACTTACAGCATAACACGCTATACTTACAGCATAATCTGCTACACTTATAGCATAACACGCTACACGTACAGTCTAACCCGCTACACTTACAGTCTAACCCGCTACACTTATAGGATAACCCGCTACACTTACAATATAACCCGCTACACTTACAGGATAACACACTACACTTACAGCATAACACGCTACACTTACAGGATAACCCACTACACTTACAATATAACCCGCTACACTTACAGGATAACCCACTACACTTACAGGATAACACGCTACACTTACAGCATAACACGCTACACTTACATGATAACCCGTTACACTTACAGCATAACCCGCTATACTTACAGTCTAACCCGCTACACTTACAGGATAACCCGCTACACTTACAGGATAACACGCTACACTTACAACATAACACGCTACACTTACAGTCTAACACGCTACACTTACAGTCTAACACGCTACACTTAAAGTCTAACCCGTTGTTACACTTACAGTCTAACCCGCTACACTTACAGCATAACACGCTACACTTATAGCATAACACGCTACACTTACAGCATAACCCGCTACACCTACAGTCTAACCCGCTACACTTACAATATAACCCGCTACACTTACAGAATAACCCGCTACACTTACAGGATAACCCGTTACACTTATAGCATAACACGCTACACTTACAGCATAACCTGCTCCACCTACAGTCTAACCCGCTACACTTATAATATAACCCGCTACACTTACAGGATAACCCGCTATACTTACAGGATAACCCGCTACACTTACAGCATAACCCGCTACACTTACAGTCTAACCAGCTACACTTACAGTCTAACCCGCTACACTTACAGCATAACACGCTACACTTACAGGATAACCCGCTACACTTACAGTCTAACCCGATACACTTACAGGATAACCCGCTACACTTACAGCATAACACGCTACACTTACAGGATAACCCGCTACACTTACACTCTAACCCGTTACACTTACAATATAACCCGCACACTTAAAGGATAACCCGCTACACTTACAGCATAACACGCTACACTTGTGTAACTTGCTACACTTCCAGTGTAACACGCTACACTTGCAGGATAACTCGCTACGCTTACAGGATAACCCGCTACACTTACAGGATAACCCGCTATACTTGCAGTGTAACTTGCTACAATGATTTGTTTTATTTTTGATGAAATTTTCCTTAAATTTGTTTTATTTTTGATGACAAACATAGATGGATGAAGAATTGTATTGTGCATTGACGGATTTTAGAGGAAATAATCACTTCTTAAAATTAAATGTCAACGGGAGTTACAATGATTTGGCGGTTGCGGTGCAAAGTCTAATTGCTTGTAATGCAAGCATGATGAAGTTGACTTACAAAGTACCCCACACACAAGAAATGTATGTGCGTGTATGTGATGATGATGATGTATTGATAATGTTCAATATACATCGAAGTTGCAAGGAGAATGTAGTTGTCATGAATGCTGACATGGATCGAGAGATATTATTTGGGCAACAATGTAATATTGTCCATATAAGGTAATTTACGCATTTGATATACCTTAATACTTTTACCATCAATTCTAAAGTTCTCAATTTCTTTAAACTCTTGTACAATTTTTTATGCAGGAATCCGTACATCCCTTCTAGTGAAGAACATGTATCTTATTCACAAAATCCTTCTTCTACACAAAATATGTCTCGGGAAGTTGGGAGCTCTAGTATGATTCCTCTTGCATGGCACAATGCAATTAGAAGTGTTGGTCAAGAATTTGATGATGTTGAGCATTGTCGGCGGAGTTTAGTAATTACTCTATTGCACGAGGGTTTAACTTTGCTTTTGTAAAAAATGAACGTAGAAGAGTGACAGTAAAATGCAAGGCCGTAAACTGTGACTGGATGGTTCATTGCACCCGCCGTAGAGATAGTGATAGATTCTATGTAAAAATTTTTTGTAGTACTCATAGTTGTTTGGGAGGAGGCATAGGAAAGGAAGGATATAGTTGGGCATCTCGCAAGTGGAATGCTAATCATCTCAAATCCATCTTAAAGGAACAACCCACTTATCGTCCAATTGATTTCCAGAAGAAGCTTAAAGCAGAATTTGGATTGGACATCCCTTATCATAGGATTTGGTGGGGAAAAGAGCTAGCTCAACGTGAATTGTATGGTGATACTAAATATTCATATGACCAACTCCGATGGTATAAAGATAAAGTTATGGAAACTAATCCGGGATCAATTGTTCACTTAGAGCATGAAGATGGAAGATTTACAAGAGTTTTCGTATCTTATTATGCTTGTTGGAAGGGGTTTATGGAGGGATGCAGGCCAATGTTGTTCTTGGATGGTACTCATCTTTTTGATAGGTATGGTAGAGTTCAATCTAATCAAAACTTGCATTAATGTACCACTCTTCATAAATTTATTATACTTTCATTCATAATTGCTACTATACTGGTTATATTATAGGTATAAAGGAACTTTACTTGCCGCAACTGCTCTAAATGGAGATGGGGGAATGTTTCCCGTAGCAATTTGCATATGCGGGACGGAGAATGAGAGTAATTGAGAATGGTTTTTGGAATGCATTCGAGACATTCTCTTCAACGATGAAGATCCGTACACTCCATATGATGAGCTGGTTTTAATCTCCGATAGGGACAAAGGGCTTCAGAATTCCGTTAAGAAATCCTTTCCATGGTCGCATCACTCTTATTATATCCGTCATCTACAGGCTAATTTTAAGAATAACTTGTCAAAGAAAGGCATTGTACCACCTTTACGAGATGAATGTGTGCAAATTATGAAGAGGGTTGCTTATGCATACACTACTCGTTCCTATAACAATGATTGCAACGAGCTACTGAACAAATCTGAGATCGCCTATAATGAATTGTTGCGGATGAGTCCAGAAAATTGGGCTAATAGCTATTTTCCTAGGAAGAGGTTAATATGAAAGTTTACTTACAATTTTACATGCAAATCATTTAGTTATATGTACATCTCTACTTACCATTTATTGACATGCATGTAGATATGGATGGTTGACATCAAACCTAGCGGAGTCATTCAATGCTTGGATCAAAGAAGCTCGTTATTTGCCAATTACCCAAACACTTGATAATATTCGTAAGAAAATGATGAGGATGAGTTTTGAAAGGCGGGAGGCATCCCACAAGTGGACCACAACATTTGTTCCTACTGTGGAAGAGCACCTCATTCAAATCAATGAGCAATCACGTTGTCTTTTTGCTATTCCTTCTACTACGGGAAGGTATGAGGTCTATGATTTCCCTACCGTTGAAGTAGATTTGAATGAGAGTACATGCACTTGTCGTGAATGGCAAGTTGTTGGGCTACCTTGCAAACATGCGGCTACGGCAATTCGAAAAAATAACGACATACTTTACTCATATATTTCTCACTACTTTAGTGTGGAAACATACCGCAAATGCAACTCCTTTCCTATATACCCAATTCCTGACGATGACAAGTCATATGTAGATGATGAAAATATGGTGATTCGGCCGCCGACAACATCAATTCTTCGTGGAAGACCAAGAACAAAGCGCATTCCTTCTGGATTGAATCCCCACAAAGAGTTAAAATGTAGTAGATGTCAACAGTATGGTCACAACCGTAGAACATGTAGACAACCTATTGCAGACTAGATATATTGTAAATATGCATGACTTTTGTGTGTTATAGTTTTGTGAAAGTAAGTGGCATACTTTTGAATCAATGTAAGACATGTTTTTAGCATAATTTGCTATGTGTTTGTTATGTGTTTGTATGATCGAGAGTTATGTGATACTTTTGGATCAATAGAAGGCATGTTTTTCTCTGAATTTTGGATGCAAGATATATGTTTGTGGCTTGGTTTGTCATAAGTCTATCTCGCTACGCTTTCATTCTATCACTATATATAAATATATATATATATATATATATATATATATATATATATATATATATGTATATATATCAATATATATGTATATATTATAATATATATATATATATATATACATTTATATATAGAATATATATGTTATATATATATATTAATAAATATATTATATATATTTAAATTGATTATATATATATAATATATATATATTATATATATATATATATATATATATATATTTATAATATTATATATATATGTATAATATATATATATATGTACTAATATATCTATCTATTACTATCTATTATTAATATTATATATAGTTATATATATATATATATATATATATATATATATATATATATATATTATATATATATATATATATATATATATATATATAATTAATATATTAATATATATAACACACAACACACAACACACACATATTATATATATATATATACATATATATATATATATATATATATATACATATATACATATATGTATATATGTATACATGTACATATATATACAGTGTAACACGCTACACTTACAGGATAACACGCTACACTTACAGGATAACACGCTACACTTACAGGATAACATGCTACACTTAGAGGATAACACGCTACACTTACAGGATAACCCGCTGCACTTACAGTCTAACCCGCTGCACTTACAGGATAACACGCTATACTTACAGCATAACACGCTACACTTACAGGATAACACGCTACACTTACAGGATAACACGCTACACTTACAAGATAACCCGCTACACTTACAGTCTAACCCGCTACACTTACAGGATAACCCGCTACACTTACAGTCTAACCCGCTACACTTACAGCATAACACGCTACACTTACGGTCTAACCCGCTACACTTACAGCATAATACTCTACGCTTACAGTCTAACCCGCTACACTTAAAGTCTAACCCGCTACACTTAAAGTCTAACCCGCTACACTTACAGGATAACCCGCTATACTTGCAGTGTAACACGCTACACTTACAGGATAATCCGCTATACTTACAAATAACCCGTTACACTTGCAGTGTAACACGCTACACTTACAGATAACCCGCTACATTTACAGATAACACGCTACACTTACAATCACAATCATAGATACGTTAGAAAACTTCCTCTACACTTAACACGATACATTTTCAATCACAAACAGTCACAAGGTGAAATATGCTACAAACTCACAACTACATTCACAGTCACAATTTGAGATATGTAACAAATTTTAACAATGACCAATTTGAGATACATTCACAGTCACAACTAATTTGAGATACATTCACATTCACATTCACAGTCACAATTTGAGATGCATTCACAGTCAAAAGCTGAGAAATGATACAAAACATACACATATTCACAGTCATATGCACATATTCACAGTCACAACTAATTCAGTTTTTGCACATACTCACATATTCACATATTCACAGTCATATGCACATATTCATAGTCACAACTAATTCAGTTTTTGCACATATTCACATATTCACAGTCACAGTCATATGCACATATTCACAGTCACATACACATATCACAGAACAATTTCAGATGCACATATTCACAGTCACAACTAATTCAGTTTTCCCGTTCAACAGCACACCAATCTTCAAAGGATCAAATTCTTATGTTTTCCCGTTCAACAGCACACCAATCTAGGGAAGTGAGCTTGTGGTGATTGCTTATATCCTGAAATCAACCGATACACGGATTAAAAGAATAGTAGACGAAATGTAAAAGTATAACCACATACATTACACATATTACACTTATGGAAAATATACCTTCAGATAGAAATAGAGCTACGATACGAGCTCTATGTCTCGCACAATCCTTTTGATCTATTGAAATTGGTTGGCCGGATACGAGGCTAAACATATATGACATCAAGAACACCCCGCAATCTAGGCTACTGCAAGTACAAAAATAGGAAGTACAACTATGCTGCCTCTTGTCCGCTGCGAAATTACGAGCAGCTCGGGCAGCAGGCTAAATGCTGCTGCAGTGATGATTTCTTCATTGTTTTTCTTAGCAGTGCACAGGGTCACATTGCGAAACAAGAGTGACCTTCAATAAAGTGGGACCAAATAAGATATCTCGTTAATCACTTTAAAATGTGTGTCAATAATTCAGTCACAGGGCAATTGCATAGCCGATTTACAAAAGGAGACCAGAAATATGGAGCTGACAAACGACCGATGCAAGCACCACTTATCCTCTGCATCTCCTTTCCTTGCATTACGTAATAATCATCTTCAATATAATATGATAATGATATGATTATGTACACATTTGTGTATAAGTAAGTATCATATTATGTATTTCTCATCCCAAATTAATTCGTTGACACTGAAAATATACCTTCAGATGGTTCTTGCTCAGTTTGGAGGTTCTTAGAAAATATACCTCCAAAGTAGTAAGTTTTCAACATATTTCGGGCATCTGATGATTTACAACAATCAACAGGGACAAAAGGATAGATGACATCTAGCATCTAGGGAAGTGAGCTTGTGGTGATTGCTTATATCCTGAAATCAACCGATACACGGATTAAAAGAATAGTAGACGGAATGTAAAAGTATAACCGCATACATTAAACATATTACAATTATGAAAAATATACCTTCAGATAGAAATAGAGCTACGATACGAGCTCTATGTCTCGCACAATCCTTTTGATCTATTGAAATTGGTTGGCCGGATACGAGGCTAAACATATATGACATCAAGAACACCCCGCAATCTAGGCTACTGCAAGTACAAAAATAGGAAGTACAACTATAAAAATTTTCATGGAACCGCAATATATAAATTCTATGTATCGGCAAATATAGCAAAACAACATAGGAATAGGTTGAATACACTCACCAACATTGTTGCGGTACATCAACACCTTCTATCTCATGACAAGAGTTAATATCTATATTCCACTCATCGGGGATGGATGTCATAAGCTTCGCTCTAAAATCATTGGCATCGGACATATATCCGCGTAGAGAAGAGTAATGATGAAACCTTTTCTCTTTTATAGATAACACCAACATATGCCAATGAAATGAAGTTAGAAGTGGGAAAATAATCTTATCAAGTGCGACGAAACGTGTGCTAGTTATTGGCTTAAACATGCGTTCGACACTTGACGGATTATTTTCGTTTATGCAACTCTACAAAAAACCAAAGAGAGAATTATTTTTAGTATCGAAGATAATACATGTATAATACTTATAATCTTCAATCGAGAATCCACTTATAGTAACCCATGGACTGCAGATGTATATGTTCTTCGCATAATTTGGACGCATCTCCATCAACATATTTAGAAGCACAACATAGGAGGCTATAACCTGAAAATGCACATAATAAAAAATTGAAGGTTATGTGCTACTACACGTGCATTGTGTGAAACGTAAGTACAAAAAAGGGAACTTACGTCGCAACCAATTGCTTCGCCTTTAAGTAATTCCAATGCATCCTTACGAGTTACCAAAGCATCACTTGATGACCACACTAATGTCTCCCTACATATGAAAAAACTTACTAAATATGTCGATGAAAACACAATAAAAGTCATAAAAATAGGTCTTTCGATATTCCTTACATTGTCATCTTTTTGTCCCTCCAAAAGTTATCGAGTACTTCTCGTTCATCATCCCTTACTTCCTTCCTTCCCGGGTATTTTGGTACACCTTTAGGATTATAAAGCGGGACAAAGGGATCACGTGTAGATGGTCCGGTGAGCCGCGATCTTGATAGAACCATTCGTTTAATGGAAGGGGTTCTACGCTTGCCTTCAATCACCGCAATATCGCGCGGGCTAAGCAGAAAGTCGTCATCATCCGGTTCAATTGACTCGCCTTCAATCACCGCAATATCGCGCGGGCTAAGCAGAAAGTCGTCATCATCCGGTTCAATTGACTCGCCGACAACATCGTCATTAGCACCATCTCCACCATCATCTTCTCCACCATCATCTTTTTTATCAACATTCATTCTATCTACATCTTCATCCTCATCCACATCACCACCATCCCCCTCATCTCTATCATCCTCCTCATTCCTGCCATCGTCATCGCCGCCATCACTATCATCTTCATCATCCCCGTCATCCTCATCTTCGATATCACTATCGACATCCTCTTGCCTTCCACCGAATATTTCCCTCTTCATCTTCAAGAGAAGGTTTAATTCAACTTTCTTTTCATGAATGAGCCGATCCAAATCAGCTTCAGTGATTACCTACATGTAAACAACCCAAGCACAGTTACATTCATGAATAAAACCAACGAAAGCATAGATAATTCACCAACATCAAATAATAAGTTCTATTTTAGCAAAAGGCACATTAAATTACTATTTAAACCCACATAATAATTGGACAAGTAACATTACATATAAATAAACCATTATACCTTTCCCTTGAATTTTGAAGAAGTAGCTTCTTTAGTGGAAGTGGCGGCTTCAGCAATCCTCTTTTGAAATTGTAGAGACCTCGAGCCCTTATGATATTGGCTAAAATTATCTGGGTCTCTAATTAAATTCTGCAATGCATTCCTCCGTAAAGGTTTTGGACACTTGTAGAAGCTTAGGATGGGTGGTAGGGATTCAGCTCCTACGCGAAGGCTTAGCTTTCCGACAAGCTCATAAAACCATATCTGTGAACAGTTGATAATTTTAGTACAATAGTAAATATGACTAAATGAACTAAATATATAAAATGAAAA